CTAGTAAAATTATATAGAAGAATAACTCCATAGTTTCATTCAAATAACTTGCACTTAAATTCGTTCCAAAACAAATCTCGCACATGCATATAATTCCCAACTGGTTCTAACATCCCCGGAACGAAGTGACTGCTGCCGTCCAAGTCTCAGAAATGTGTTGTTACAAAAGTTGCAAGTCATTGTTTATTAGTGTTCAAAGTTAGTAACTGATCATACATACTTACTTACTGGTCATAGATACTTACTGATCAGAGTTACTTACTGATCATAGATACTTACTGTTCAGAGTTACTATATGTTCATTGATACTTACTGATCATAGTTATGTACATTCTGGTCATAGATACTTGCTGATATTATCTTCTTAAATTCTAAGAACAGTTTCTTGATAAAGCTGAACTACTTTATCTGTTTTAAATTATCTTTGCTTCATATTAGTATGAGTAAACACAAGTATCTTGAAGATATTTACTCTCCAAAACAAACAAAAGACGTAATTAACTCCTCCAGCTAAAGTGGTTAATAAAGCTGAATATATATCTCTGTATATATATATTTGCAAATAATTATTTTGTCTGCTAAGTCATCCATCTGTTTCAAAGCTTGTGAGAGAGGAGTTTAGTATACAAAGTTCCTTAATAAATTCCAAATTAAAAGAACTCAAGAATATTAATATGTAGACTTAAAGAAGACCTACAAAATATTAATCAATGCTTAAGAGAGAGTGCTGTATCCTTTCCTGTTCTCTGTGTTCGTGTGTGAGTTCATGAAGAGTTAATTACGACAGGAGGAGCCTTAAAGGAGCCAAACTCCTTGCATTATTAACAAGAGGAATGTGTTGGAGGCATGACCACGGAACTCCCACTCGGTCTCCGACTTTGGACATTGGTCTTGGAGCTGGAGTTGGAGTTGGACATGGACATGTCCCTGTTTCATGTTTCATCCTTCCTGCCTCTTTTGGATTGCGATTCCGATTCCGATGGCCGATTGCCGGTTTGCATTGTTGCGGCAGTTGTTGTTGCACGTCGCACTTTTCACTCCCGCCCTGACATTTTCACATTTTCGCATTTTCACAATTCGCCATTCGCAATTTTCCACTCTTCCACTGCCATTTGGCCATTTCCATTTGCATATTGGCCATCGCCCGTTTCGTGTCTTTTGACAATTTGCCGCATTGTTTGTTGTTAATTGTTATAAATTTTAAATCACTGACAACAACAAACAATTGCAGCAACATTGCGATGATTGCACTCCCTGCTCTACTCTGCTCTGCTCTCTCATTGCGGTTTTGTTGCCTCTGAATTTATGAGATACATTTGCTGCTGCTGCCGAGAAGAGGCACTTATGGCCATAAATAGTATCCGGTCAGAACAGAAAATAATCGCAATAATCAGTGGCTACTACCTCTCTTCTAACCCCCTTCTATAATTTTTTTTTGAGCTTTAACTCTACGCAATTTAGTTTCGAAAACATTTAGTAACTTTTGCTGCTGTTTTGCCTGTTAATTGAAATTAAATGTTCATTTACCAGAATTTTAATGGCCATTGGAGGAGGCACGTGGCAATGGGCCATGATAATTGCCAAAAAAAGCTTCTAGAAGTACATTATATTTTATATACATATCTGTAATTTAATTTTTTTTAGCTCCCGAGTCTGAAATGTATCCGCCGGATGCTTAGGGAAATGTGTAGCAGCTAAAAACAAATTTCATTTGGTGGGGTAAAAAAAAAGACGGAAAAGCGGAAAATCAACTTAGGCGACATATTGAGAAATCATTTTGCTATCAATCGTTCTTCTTTTTAGGGGGAAAAAAGCCTCAAGAAGGAGCCCGCCAAGTTGTGCCGCACACGTACGCAAATAAAAGGATGTGAGGCGAATTAAAAAAAGAAGCAACACAGATACAGATACAGCGAAGAGATACAGCTACAGCTGTGGGGGGGATACGGATGCCCAGATAGCAGATACAGATACAGATACAGCTGGCATCTCAACACTTGGCGGCAGCGGCGAAAAAAGATACTTAAGTTCATTTGCGCCACTTTTGCCGTCTGCCTTGCATTTTAAATGCGCCCCTCGCTTGACTTTTGGCACTTTCGGATACAAAATGTATCTGTAGCTGTATCTGTATCTGAGTTGAAACGGATCTTTGTGCCACTTTGTGCCGCTGCCATTCTATTCCATTTCATTTCGTTTAATTTACGCATGTTTCTTGAAAGCCAATTCTAGCGAATACATAAATAGTTTAGTGTTTTAGTGTTTAGTGTTTCGGTGTTTCGGTGTTTTGAGGTTCATTGAATTCGAAACTCATCTGCATTTAACGTTGATGATGATGATGATGATGATGCTGGAATGATGACTGACTCACAAACTTTGCACCTGTGGCTCCTCTTCCTATAAATAGAATGCTAATGAGTAACTCAAAAACCCAAAGCTTCAACTTCGCTTCCAAGCAGGCGATAAATCAATCAGTGAAACAAGTTATGATTGTTAGTGGAATGTGACAACATTTATAGATATTACGTGTGTGTGACCACCAAGGTTTCCGGCATTGTCATCAGCCAGCTTCAGGAGTATATTTTACAATGTTTTATATAGTATCTTTTCTCTCCTTTAGTGAGCTCACACCTTTAATTTTTATTTTTCAAGAATTTTCTAATCAGAAAAAAACATAATTATCTACAGTTTATGGTACTGTTTTTACAGCTGCTTATTAAGTATAATAAACAATATTATTATGAGATTTATTTAAGTAAAATCCTTGAGGTAGGTTTAGCATTATTCTCCCCAAGCTTAAGCAGAAATTTTCCAAGATCTTAAGCTTGTTTAAAGAACATAAGTTTTTCAACAAATATAATAAATAATAGATTTAATCCAAGTGGATTAACTTTTAGCAACTACTCAAAAGAGTTTAGTTAATCTCTATCTTTATTTAAACAAGATTAATTAACAAAGTGTATAGTATCTTTGAGATCCAAGTCTCATTATTCTCTCCTCTGCGGATCAATGAACTTAGAGATCAATGCACGAAGGTTTATATATATCTCCATAATTCCTCACCAGATTCGGGTTCTCTCTGGTTTTTTATTTTATTTTTTCGGGGTTTAATTGCCAAAATTCTTGTAAGAGCTAGAAGAGAATTGTAAAAGTCATCGAGGCTCATTGACCCATTTTGGTAGCCCCCCAAAAATAGTTAAAGGCATCATTAAAATTTCTATCTGTATCCGAGCTACGTTTCAAGTTTCAAGTTGTGTTGTTCTTTATTTTTTTTATTTTTATATTCCCGCTCTGGGTGCGACACACATTCCGTATGATTTTTTTTGTTTTTCTGACAAAGATCGAACCTGTTTTGCCTAGCAAATTAATGGTTTGGAGAGACCGAGAAGAACTTGTTGGTTCTATCCAGCATATCGGGGTAATCGCATAAGCATGACGCGTATTTAATGGCAAATTGACCCAAATCGTTATACGGACTCTGCCAATTTATGGGTACACCATGGTTACTACCTCTTTTACTCTGAGCCATGTTATGTTAAATGGTTAAGTGGTGGTCGGTCGATGGATACCCCTTGGGGTGAATATGGGGCCTTGAACCTTCTTCTCTGATTAAAATCAAATAAATCTCTGCAGAAGTAGCTCTATATCTCAGAGATGCAACCTGTCTTACTTTTGATGTATCTGCAGTTGTATCTTTTGCATTTCTGTTGCATAAACTTTTCCAGGCTCATGCAAATGAAATGGAAAACGTTTGAGTACAAAAACTTGGGGTTTTTTCTCTTGCTTGCTTTTTGAAAAACATCCTGCGGCTGTAAAGGTTTCCAATGCAGCAAGTTTAGCAACAAGTTTTCGTAGCAAAAAAAAAAACTTGAACAAATCCCATTTGATATCAGTCTGGATTTGAGTGCAAAGCTTGAGTTTCTTTCAACTTCTTCGATTATATATAAAAATTACTGGAAGTATCCTTTAGTATCTTTAGAGTATCCTTGTCTCTTTGGCAACCAATGTGAGGCTGCCATGCAGTGATCCCAGCAGCCGGGAGCCACACTCGGACACTCGCCGTCAATAGAAACTCTGGTAGAATGATTGGGGGGATTGGGTGCATCCATCTCATCCACCCGAGGCCACCAGGCATTGAGTCGGCGTTTTGTTTATGGATGCGTGTGGTCCTGCCCCGAAGCATTTTGGGGGTATGGTGTACAGAGCACAACACTGGATGCAATGTCATAAATATTAGAAGGCCTCCTTGCCGCCAGACACAATGCCAGAGTTTAGAGTTTCCACTGCTGGCTGAGTGAATGGATAGATGGACAGACGGATGGTGGGATGGTTGGATGTTGGATACTGAATCCCGGATGCTAAAGGCGTCCTCCCTTGTCGCACGCACAACTCGCAATTGCAAAGATACAAAAGCGCAGATACACAAACAGATTGTCGCCTGCAGTGTTACTGAGGGAGGGTTTTGGGAGAGTAGAGCCCGGGGGAACAGTGAATCTTGTACCAAGTCTGATTTATAATTAAAAAAAGGGGTAGCCACCAAGATTAGCTTGATTTTTAAAGCAAAATTAAGGGAAATATATGTAAAAAAAACCAGTGTACCTATTCCATTGCCCTTTGCTGTGCCATTTTTAGATTGTTTTCCATTACCCAAAAGGACCTTGCCATTCTCCCCTTATCCTGAGCAGCGTTGATTTCTGGCCCCAAGCTTGAAAATATTAAAACTTGACATTGGGCAAGAGAGAGATGGAGCAGAGAGGCAGCACAGGAAACGGAAATATCCTGACTATGCTGACCGCCATATTTAAAAATGAGTGATGACACTCGATTAGAGATGGGGAGGGTGAAACTCAGCCTTAATGAGACCACATTTCTCATTTAGATTCTTTACTTCCTTACCATTTTATGCAGTTGAATCGAGGGAGATAAAAGGGATACCCGGATCTACGGGGGAACCCTAGTGAACAGAAAAAAAAAGAAAAACCAAAGCGCAAAACTCACACAACAACAACAACAAAAACCGCCATGGCCCACTCCAAGGTGATCTTGAAGATCCTGTTCTCGCTATGCGTCTGGTCCTTTGTCATCATCGGTCTGTTCAAAATGCATGGCACAAATCTAGTGCCACAGGAGTACCAGCAAGTGCCACTCAATGGACGCATTTTGTTGCAAAAGGATATGCGATATGCAGAGACGACATCCACCACCACAGATCACTTCGATCCCAGCGAGATATTGGTGGACAATCGAACAGGTGAGGCAAAACTAACTTGATAATCAAAGCTATTAACACTTGGTTAACTGCATAAAGTGTGCGAAAAGCTAACCAAGTGTGTTTGCTAGCTAAACTCTTTTGCTATTTACTTTCCATTTAGAGCCTTTTTAAGGCTTTAAAAATAGGAATTAAACTGGAAATGATGCAATATTAATAATAATATTTATATTATTCACAGCTATGGATGATGATCAGCTGGTTCGTGATGTGGAATCCCGCATTCCTTCGCTGCCAATTGCTTACTGGAGCAAAAACAAGAACTTTTTGCAACAAAAGTCCTCCACCTGCGCCAAGTACCCCTCAATTTTTGAGTTGGAATTTAACAATATTTACTGGCAAACATTGCGAACCTCGAATGGTACATTCCAACTTTTTGGTGCCTACTATGATATACGAAGAACCTCGTTACTAGGACCCACTGTACGTATTCTGGGCATGATTGATCGCATTGAGCCCAAGGTGAAAACCTATTGCCAATTCTGGTTTGATGGCCAAAAGGAACCCTTCATAGTGAAAACCTTTGAGTACAAATACATTTGGTACAACAAATGGGGCAACTATAAGCAGGGCATATATCAGCCGTATTTAATTGCCTGCCAGATACCAAAACCCTTTCATGGAGTTGTGCCCAGTTCGGTGTCAATGGTGGAAAGGAATGCGATACGGCCACAAATAATTTAAGAGTTATTTACAATCGTCCTCCGGATGACCAGAAGAAGGGTTTTGCCGTCTGTGTCAAGGGTTTGGATTTTCTGTACGATGATTTGAGTGTGCGATTGATTGAATGGATCGAAATGCTGAATATCTTGGGAGCAGATAAGATATACTTTTACAATCTGCAGGTGGGTATCAATCTATAGATCTATAATCTCTCTTGGAATATTCTTTTATAATCTATATCCTTTACTCTTTCTTATTATCACAGGTCCATCCCAACATCACCAAGGTTTTGAATCACTATGAGCAGGAGGGCAAGGTTCAGGTTATACCTCTTACCCTGCCTGGTGGTCAGCCAAATGTCCCAGGATTCCAGCATTTATATCTCACCAAGAAAACGAATCACAAGCGACAGAACGAAGTGATACCCTACAATGATTGTCTGTACAAGAATCTCTATTTGTATGACTACATTGCCCTGCTGGACATTGATGAGGTGATCATGCCCAAAGGTGGCTCTGTTCTATGGTCCGAGCTAATGGATAAAGTGCGACCCGAATCGAGGAAGATTAAGCCCGATGGCTTCCATAGTTACAACTTTAGGAATGTGTATTTCCTGGATGATCAGCAACATGAACATGGTTGGCATAAGGATATCCCAAAGTATATGCACATGCTGCAGCATGTACATAGAGCCAAGAACTATACGAAACCGAATCAGTATGTGAAATGTTTCCACGATCCAGAGCGAGTACTCACCTTGCACAATCACTTCCCACTGAGTTGTCTTGGAGGCGTTTGCAAATCATATCCGGTGGATACACAAGATGCCCAACTGCAGCATTATCGCGCAGATTGCGTTAAAACGTTGAAGAAAAGCTGCGAGGAATATCGTGAGCATTCCGTGGAGGATAAAACCATTTGGAAATACAAAGATGAACTGATACGACGCACTATCAAGGCGCTTGATACGCTGGGTTTCTTTCGCCGTCAAGGATTAAACTCAGCCTCCGGTTCGGGAGGCAGTAGCAGTGGTTTGGGCGGTGGTGCAACCACACATTCAACGGAACGGTGATTCACACTCCTTGGGGGTGGCGGTGGCGGATGGTCCTGGCCATGGCAACTGGTGGAAGCATCCGGCAGTAGTCTTGGCAACGAAGAGTTCTTCGTTTGAGCACCATTCCGAAGAAAACCACCGTGCCCCTTTGAGTTGTTTGTCTACTATGAGAAAAGGAGAGATGTCTCTAAGAAGACTCTGAGATCACTCTGAGATCACTTTGAGATCCCTGTGAGATCTCTTAAGAGATCCGATTTAGGATCATCTCCCAGTTTAGTTAGTATATTATGTCCAGTTGCAGTTCCCATCCAAGACCCCATATATACCAGAGACAGCATTTCCCCCAGACCAATTCCTTTTGTTTTAAGTCTTTTATTTTCTTTTAATTTCTTTAATATTTGTAGTGTTTTGTTTGAAATCTTTTAGAAATTGGCTTTGAAACCTAGGGAAAAGTCTGCTCCTCTAAGGGTATATATGGTTAGTGTAAACAGTAGAAGTGGTGTTAGTTAGTTGCGATGAATTGGGAAGAGAACACTTTTGAAATTGTGCCTTCGAACCTGGATGGTAGAGAGTTTCCTAGATTAACCTACATCCTGAAACCCCCCATTAACCTTAACCTACTCCCCTTGCAAATTATGTATTTCCATTCACAAAAAAAAACAATGAAAAAGACATAAAGTCACAACTTTAAAAAAAAAGATAAAAATCAGGCCAATTGCACACAAGAAAGATTTGTAAGACATTGTGAAATGGCTAGGAAAATCATAATGAAACCTAAACTAAGTTCAAGACTGATGATGTTTATTAAGAATTATAAATCGAAGGATGAGGATAAAAAGAGTATGAGGGATTTACCAGCTAATAATTTGTTTTCACATTCGGATTAAATCGATATTATTGTTGTTTGTATAGGCAAAAAAGAAACGAAACGAAGGCCATGAAAAGGTCCTTGAAAAGAATGCAGGAAATGCAAAAGAGAATACGAAAAAGAAAAATATCACTAAATGCTAAGCAAAAGAAAGAAAGAAAATACTTAAAAATTGAACAAGTTTCAGTTGTAAACTGTAAATAGGAAAATTGTTAAAGGCATAAAGTATAAACTATATATGCGGATTAGGACCGATTAAAATCGGATAAACTAACTAATGAGAACAAACCCAACTTTTAAGTTCTTTTTTTTTTTGATCCTTTTGAAAGCTACACAAACTATATACACTATAAACACTATATACTATATATATAATTATATAATCTTATAATTTTCAACTTGTACATACACATGAAGACAACACATACACACACTACACTAGACACACACACTATTTTATTTGATATATTTTCTATTAATCATTTCCCCATAGAAGCTTAGTCAAATTGCAAGTGTACAGTTCTAAGAGAAGCCACTAAACTAAACTAAACTAAACTAAATACAGACATTTAAATACGATACAGATACAGTTATATAGGAATGCATGCCAATCGTATGTATTAATGTTAGTTGCTAGCCATTTAAGGACCTCAAGAGTCGTGTGAAGGAAATCCCCCACAATTTTTAGTCCTCAAACACACATCATATATATAAATATATATATATATTTTTTTTTTTGCCTAGCTAATAAAAAAGAACACAACACACACAATTGATATGAGAACAAAGTGATTGAAGAATAAAAATTTACAAAAAAGCAAACCAAAAAGCTTTATACTATGGGGTTCCCACTTTTTATACCCTTGCAGGGTATTAAAATTTCTGTCAGAAGTTTGCAACGCAGTGAAGGAGGCACCTCCGACTATATAAAGTATATATATTCTTGATCAGGATCAACAGCCGAGTCGATCTAGCCATGTCCGCCTGTCCGTCTGTCCGTCTGTCCTTCTGTCCGTCTGTCCGTTTCTACGCAAACTAGTCTCTCAGTTTTGAAGCTATCTGAATGAAACTTTGTAGTTAGCCTTCTATATACTCTCACTCGTATATATGTCGGAACGGGCCGGATCGGACGACTATATCATATAGCTGCCATAGGAATGATCGTAAAATTTTTACAAAAAAATTTTTAACTTTTTCAGTTTTCAATAGAATCGGATCAAATTTAAGATATAGCCATTTAACTATACTCTACAATTTTGTGTAAAATTTTATGAAAATCGGACTAATATATCATATAGCTCCCATAGGAACGTTCGAGAAATTAATACAATTAAATTTATAACTTTTTCAGTTTTCAACAAATTTTCATCAAATTTGAGATATAGCCATTTAATATTAGTCTTAAATTTTGCTTCAAATTTTATGAATATCGGACGACTATATCATATAGGTGCCATACAAACGATCGTTTGATGTAGAGGAGAAATGCAAATCTGTGAATGTTAAACTACAAATATAATATGTATAGGTGAATGAAATGAAAGCAGGTATTACTTCATTGTTTTTTAACATATTATATATAATTTATATTGTATGGATTCCTAGTCATCGAAGTTCTATCTGCAAGGGTATATAAACTTCGGCGTGCCGAAGTTAGCTTCCTTTCTTGTTTAAAGATGGGACGCAAGAAGTGTGCCCAAGACGTGAGACACAAAACTTCCAGGAATGTAAACAACAAAGCATTTAGTTGCCAGGACCCAGAACCCAGGCACAAATGAATCCACTTTGGCTGGGAGTAGGATACCTTAAGCCACTGCACACAAAACTTTCTACCACCGGACAGGACGAAAGACAAAAGGCAGAGGCAGTGGCAAGGAGCTGAAGCCAAAGCCGAAGCAACACCATTCTTGAAGGGGCGGCAAAATTTGTATAAACGCAACTTAAGTGAGCATTAAACACGCTCCACTGGAGGACCAGCAGGACGAACAGGACGAACAGAAGCTGGAGCTCGCTACGAAGTTCCTTGGCGTCTAAGTTGGTTAATAAACATTACCAACGCCACAAAAACCATTTACGTGAACTATTAAAATTCCGCAGCATTTAAGAGAGAGAGAGAGAGAGAGAGCTCCGCATCCTGTTCCACATCCTGAAACGCCTCCGCATCCTTGGCCTTGTTTCACGATTATGTTTATTTATATGGCACACACGAGGCGGAAAAAGGGGAAAAGTTTTCGGTGTAGAAAATTGGGTAAGAGCAGTTTATGGACTGCACAAGGAAACCTCATGGCCCAAAGGATAATGATGACGACGACGGCTACGCAGATGATGATGAGGATAATGATAATAATGGCAGTGCTGATGGTTATGCCAGCACCGACTTGTGATTGAAAATTCACAGCTTCCTTGTGCCATGAAATGGATTATATACATCCGTATTATATATATGTATACCTTATGTATACTCTGTTATATATAAGAATATATATAGAGAGATGAGTTTTGCATAGCGAATAAAAATATGCGAATGCAAATGCGGCAAACTAATTAAATCCCCTAGTCCCAGAGCCACTCTGTGGAATATGCAATATGCATTCATAATGCATGCGCATAAATCTGCGAATAAAGAGCGCGGTTTAAAAATTTAAATCCGCAATTAAAGGACAGGACAGGAAAGATCAGGTGACTGACTAACTAACTGACTGGCAATTTGACTTTGGGTTTTGGTCCAGAAATTGCAGAGAACCTCATTTGTCTCGAAGGTGAAGCACTCACATCCCAAAGGAAGTCACTGGAAAACCAGCTCAACAGGAATTCTTTATAATAATACAGGTAAATACGAAAATATATTTATTTTCCTTTGAATTCTGCAACAAAACTAATTTATTATTAATTATTTATTTATGCCTTAACATACAAGTTATTATAATTTCAGTCAGAAGATAAGAACATAGGGAAGGAATTATTTCCGACCCTATAAATTATATATATTCTTGATCAGCATAAACATGCGAATCTTTATGGTTACCCCCGCAAGAAAAATTAAATTTTCAGACATTTTCAATTTTTTTTTTTTAAAGGAAAGGGGTTACTTCGTTAAAATTTTCAAAATCGGTCAAAAATTTACATTTAAAAAGTAGTATGCAGTTTTATTGAGCTACTAAAAATTAACATAAGAACGCTTTCCGAATTAAAATTAATGCCTTTTTGGCTTAGTTATGAATTTGTGAAATTTTGATTTGTCAACAAAATTTGCATATAAAAATGTAGTTTATATCGATTAAAAATAGTATTGCACCTTCAGTCAGAATCTTAAAAGAAAGTGAAGGAGTCATTTCCGACCCTATAAACCATATTCTTGATCAGCATTAAAAGACGAATTTTTCTAGCCATCTCCTGCAGAAAAAAATATTTTTCACAAGGAAAGGAGTTACATCGTTAAAATTTTCAAATTTTCGGTCAAAAATTCATTTTAAATTGAGTATACAGATTTATTAAACTATTAAAAACTAACATAGGACAGCTTTCCGATTGAAAATTAATGAATTTTTGGTTGAGTTATAAAGATTTTTATGATCAAAATTCAAGGGTATAAAAACTTCGGTTTCCGAAGTTCACTTTCTTCTGTTTTTCTTAAACTGCTTTGTTTTCCTTTGAATTGTGCTGATAAAATTATGTATTATTATTTATTTTCTAATTTAATAAGCTTAGTGTTTCTTTATGGGCTTTTAATTTAATCTGCTTTCTATATTTTAATGTAGTTTGGGTCTTAAGTATAAATAATATTGCAATATTAATAATAATAATAATATATTGTTATAGGTTCAAAAGCATTTAAAATTAACCTTAGAAATAAGCTAGAAAAAACATTTACTGATTTCTAGGTTAAATATTATTTATAGACAGCATTTGCCAGATTGTTAACTTGAACCCCCTTTAAAAAACCCAATTTCCCCTTACAAAATGCGTTAAAAAGGGTAATATTCTTAGTGGTAGGTTCTGTTTCTTTACCTTATTACCTTACCTTACCTTATTTTCTTATTTTCCTGTACCATTTTATCTCTCAGTGTAATAGGCAACTCCTAGGCCGCTCTGACTCGCAACCGAATCTGCACAGCAATCTCAATTTGAATTTGAATGCAGATGGCGTTTGATTTTTGGCCAGCCTAATTATGTCCGTCTCTCTCTTGCTCACCTTTGACCCCTCTCTCTGTACCCCCCCTCCCCCACGTGCCCCACCTGAGCGTGTGTGAGTGTGTGCGTGCAAGATTGGGAAACCAAACAGGAAATGCTAATTACATGTAAGTGTACACAGCATATGAGTGTTTGGCATGCCAGTGCTTCCGTCCAAAGTCCGAGTGTGTGCGGCGAGTGTGTGCGTGTGTGTGCGTGTGTGTGCTACCTGCAGCATCCGCGCTTGCACCTGACCCAAGAGCGACCTTCTATGCCTCCTCCTATACCTGTGGCCACTGTGGAAAGCAAAGTTGCCCCCGATTTGCCAGAGCTCATGCAATATTATTGCTCGCAATCTAATTAACCGCACAGCGGAGAGCAACTCTCATACTCCTCTCTTGTAGCACACACACACACACACATGCAGTACTAACGTGGCCAATATTTGCGCCAAGTGGTCATATCCAAATGGCCGAGACACAGACGGGGACAATGGAAATTATACGCTTAATTGAGAACGGAATTTGGCGCTAATTCAATTCGCTTTCGTTTGTCAGGATAATGTGAGTGGGAGTACTCCCACCTCCTGCCGTGTCCTTTGACCTTTCTCCCTTTCTCCCTTGACTTTTGGCCAACAGCTAAGCTGCCACAAAATGTCAGTTGAGAGCAGCGCTTAAAGCCATAATTAAAAAGCCAGTGACAGGGGTTTAAGGTGTTAGAGGAATGATGTCCTTAGGATACTGTTTATATATCAAATAGGTTTTCCCCATTCTTCTTTATATTTATTATTTCCATTCCTTACTTAATTTTAAAGACCGACCCTGTAGTCTCTTGGTCCTGCCACATCCTTTGTGGCTTCAGCTGTCGCTGCCTGCAGTGCCAGTGACACAGTTCCCTTTTTTTTTCCCCCATTGCATTCACTCTGGCTCTTTTGGTCATTTACCATTTACACTTCCCTTTCCCCCCATTTCCTTCGCATGTCCTGCAGATACTGCAGATCCTTGGAAGGACCAACGCCGCCTGTCGATTAGTCAATTATAGACAAATGGCCTGGGAGTTGCGAGCGCGGCTCGGCGGCGGCACAATGTAAACAAGCCATCAATAGCGGCGAAAGTATAGCGGCAAGGACATGCCAGGCTCTAGCAGGATATGAAGGGGGCACCCAGTGGAGATAAAAGAATTATGCATAGGCAATGGCAACGAGGATAACCAGGAACCAGAGGATCCAACACAAAAGGCGAGAAAGTATCCCAGGGGACTGTACGGAGAGTACAGAGAGTCCCGGAATCAGCGGCAGGAAACCACAAGCCACACGGAGAAATTGAAAAAAGAAAATGCAGGAAAAGGGAAAAAGGAAAAGGCAAGGGAAAGCACAGCGAAACAAAGAAATGGAAAAAAAGGATATAAAGTGGAGGGTCCTGGAAAAAAATATAAAACTAAACAAGGAGTAAAAAGACAAAAGTTCAGTTCAGGGACAAAGGCAGAAAAATGAAGGCGGATTAAAGAAACTGCTGCATTT